CTGACATTGTTCCTGGAGTTAGATATTTAAGGGTTTCATGAATTTTGGAGTAGGGTGTAGGGGATGTTGTGAGTGGTGTACATGTCAGGAAGGGCTCTACAAGTCGCTTTCTCCATACAGGGCACTGGAGAAGGAGATATAATCCAGGGAGCCTGGGGTAGCATCACCGCCAATGTACTTAGTCATGCGGCTGATACAGTATTCGGCTTGTTCTGGGGGCAGCTCCCTCCTCAGCTCCTCCACTGTAATGTACAGCTGCAGAACATAGTAGAAAAATGAGTGCTTAGACAATAGAAGCCATGTTTAGCAGATTCTCCTATAGGTTCTTTTAGTGGTTCTTAGATTGTAATTACCTTGTCAGAAGCCAGGATCTTGAAGGAGGCCATGACCTGCTCAGCAGTGTCTGTCTCGGCTGTCTCCCTGGTCATGAAGTCAATAAATGCCTGGAAGGTAACAACTCCTGTGTTGTTGGGGTCCACCAGAGTCATAATGCGTGCAAATTCAACTTCGCCCTAAAAAAGTAATGGAAAAGGTCATGTAAAAGAAGGTTGATTTTGCGTCCTTGTGTTTCTGGATTATTGTAAAGCAACGAAAAAAGCAGTGAGAGTCATACTCTAAACAGGACTAAATGCACTCACCAGATCATAACCCATAGAAATTAGGCAAGCACGGAAGTCATCAGGATCCATCATGCCATTCCTCTTCTGAAAATACAAAAAAAAGAACATGCTTATTCTACAGTTTGGATAAAGTTGCATAACTTTGCTTATTCAAAGATGAAACCAAAGACTCCATGTATTGCTAACCCGGTCAAAGTGGTTGAAGGAGGCTCTGAACTCGTTCAGCTGCTCCTGGCTGATGCCCTTGGCGTCACGGGTCAAGATCTGGTTCTCAACCTCGTTGATCGTACGGGCGATAGTGGTGAGGAGCTGCTCCCATCCTACACGCACATGCTAAAATAGACATAATTAGAAAATAGGAATTATGCCTTATATGGAAGGTGAGATTAAAGGGACTTAGAAGTCTAATTGTGCAAGACACCTTGCCTTAATTACATTTTAATTTCAAAGAGGAAATACATTTCAGAATGAACAGAAAATAGCTGATTGTCAATACCTCCATAGTGTAGTTGGTGTGCTTGTTGTCAAAGATAAGACCCTCCTGGCTGAGCTGGTGGTCTCCTTCCAGTTTGTCAATATTGGACTTGTAATTAATGATGTTCTGCTCATATGTTTTCAGATTGCTCATCTGTTCCTCTAGAGAACCGGCAATATCAATTGACACGTGGCTGATCTCCTGTTGAACAAGAGGAAGATTTAGTTTTAGCTTTTTCATAGTATGTGACATGTAGCTACTGTGAGTAAGTTGTACGGTGAAACACCTCCATCTTGGTCTGAACCCAGGGTCCAATGATATTGGCCTGAGCAGCAAACTGGCGTCTCAGCCTCTCATTGGACTGCTGCCTGGCTACTTCCTCCTGCAACGTCTGGTCACGCATTGGGACCAGTTGCTTCACCTGTTGTTAGGAAGGAAGCAACATTTCTCAGTGAAGAAGAGGGAAAGGACTTGAAAGAACACAATACATTGAGCCATCTTGCTGATTAAGCTGGAGTGGTAAAAAAAAGATTGTAAAGTACTTACAGCTTCCCATTTGTTGCTAATATCCTGAGGAGAAAGGACAGTGTAGAGATTCTCGCCCACTACCTTAATGCCGTATGTTTGAGCTATCTTCAGGATCTCGCTATGAATGCCCATGATGGCCATGCGTTCCTTATCAGCTTCTGGTAGGGTGGCCTTGAATTGGTCATGGGCTGTGATCAAGCTCTGAGGTCGACAATAGCAGAAAATAACAAAATTATGTTAAGACATGGTGCGTACAAAAAAGGAGTCTATTACAGAAGAACAACACCAACATCCTTCTCCCATAACAGACTGATTATGGGATACTAAATAAAAAAAGGTACTAAAGCCAGTTTGCAATGTTGCAAAAAGATAAGCTCTCCTTCAAGCATTCAGTGTTCATCTTTTACCTGAATCTCCTCAATACTGTGAACAATGAACATGTCTTGCAGATCTTCCATAGCTCCATCCATCCAGTTGTTGAAGGGTGCTGCCCTCTTGGCGAACTCCAGGTACAACTGGTCAATTGTCTCCCAAAGCTTCTCCACACGCTATGGCAAAGAAAGACGAAGATTACATCGAGCCCACATTTTAATCATACTCTTCATTTGCTAAACATGCAAAAGAGTCTTAATGTTTCTGGATGTGGAATCTATATTAGTTTGACCGCATTCTCAATTCAAGTGTAGATTTGGACAGTTGAGGAGGACAGCTATCCCATAACAACCAAGATGTTATCATATACACGTACCTCCAGTGATTCTCTCCTTTTCTGGGTCAGGGTGCCCAGGTTGTCCCACTGGTCACAGATGCCCTGGCATCGGGCATTGATGGTAGCAGCATCATAATAATCCAGTTCACTAAAGAGCAGCACATCTTTATAATCATTACAATTACCTACTGTAAACTCTATAAGAAAGTACTCTTCATATTTCAAGTGAGCTGAGGTGCATCTATCTTACTTGAGCTCCTGTGCAATAGCAGCAATCTGCTCCACTCTGTCCTGGTGAGCAGCGAGGTCGCTCTCAAATGCCTCGTGTTTCCTCATCAGAGCACGGATCTCCATTAGAGAGGCGGACTCATAGTCTTTCTGAGACAGCAGCTCCTCCTTTCCTGTGTTGAGCATTACAGAACGCAATGAGAAGAAATATGTCAGTTCTCAGAGTAGCGTGAAAATGGCTGACTGTAAGATCAGAGAGGTAGTGATTAATACCTGTGGTCCATGATTCGTGCAAGGTAGACTTCTGCTTAAACTTCTCGGCCAGGTGGTCCAGTCTCTCCAGACGACGGATTTCTGTGAGCAGCCACTCCTCGTAACCCTTCTCTACCTGCTCCAGACCCTTCCAGGCATTGGCAATGTCCTGCAGCGGAGGAACCCAGGTAGAACTTACTTAATTTTAACTCGGTCTGTGGGGTACTTGAAAGCCAAGGTAATTTACCCTGTATACAACTGTTAAGAGAAAAGGAGCAGCACATACTGAAACCATTTTGCCTTCAGAGGGCATGAAGGCAGGCCTGTTGCTGAGCCTCAGCTTGGTCTGTAGGGTGTTGAAGTTGATCTCCAGCTGACACTTCTCCTGAACCTTGGGTGGCTTATGCACACGTCGATAATCCCTGAAATCCTCTAGCTTCTGCTGCATGGCATGCATGGTCTGCTCGGCCACGCGGTTCTCCAACCAGGGGATGGTCCTACGGATCCACTCCAGAAGCTAAAGTCAAAACCATGGGAAAACCAAGACTCAGCAAATTAACAAAATATTGTCCATCTAAAAGAGAATTTGAGTTTTCTTACCTCGCTGGCCAGTTTCTCATATTCTTCCATCAGCTTCTCATTTTCCTGGTTCACGGCCAGCACTTTGCAGATTCTGTTAGCTGCTGTCTCAGCCTGGAGGACAGTGTGACTGATTACAAAGGGGAAACAAGGTGGGCAATTACATTCTAAAAGGAGCAACTCTCCTTCCTTTACAGATGTTCATCTCCAGAAGAACTCCCTTACCTGCTCTGCTCCAGCGAAAGCATGGTAGAAACATGACACATAGGTCATGATAGCCTTCTCATCAGGTTTCGGAGTGTTCACAATGTCTGATATGGAGAGAAACATTAAGCAATTCCTGAAACCATTTTATTTTTACAATGTGAAACATGATATCTCTCCAAGAGTTCTCCAAGAATTCATACCATCTGCATCAAGCATTTTAGGGATGTCAAGGTATTTCTCTGCTACCTCAAAAGCAGTGTTGAGGTTGCCAATAGGGTCATCCTGCAAGGGCAGACATAGCCAGGAAGAAACCCAATGAAAAAAAGTAAATAAAGAGAAGAAACGTTTTTCCACGGTCTACAATTGAAAGTTGCTGGAAAAGACAGTTAACCATATACCGTTCATCATGGAAACATATTGTTCATACCCATACACTTCATAATCACCATGTTTGAATGTAACACATGCTATTTTATGCACTGCAGAACATTAGTTATATTAGTTAATGTTACATTAGTTAACATTAACATAATTAAACAAGCAAAAACTGAATTTATGCCTGAGAACATTTGAGATAAATTCAGTTCTGAATTAAAAAATGTTCTGTGCCAGCCGGTGATAATACCATAGCCCTTTGATATTTACCATGTTTTATACAGTGATTATCATATTTATGTACCATTATACATAACCATGATACATTAAATGGTACTATAAAAAACTTCAAGCGAGTACCATGATATTAAAGTCATTTTAAAGCCATGATGCATGTTCAAAAAGAAACATGGTATTACCATGGTAAGATAACCAATAAACACTTGCTTTTTTGTTAGTCGGGTGGCAATAACATCATAGAGGTAAATAGAACAAACCAAATGAGACTTTTTGTCACTTAAGAAATGAAATAAGGGTGTTACATTTTTTATGTAAAATATTCAGCTCTTTTTTAGAACAATAAACAGTGCATTCACAGCCAAAGAGACAAAGTTAGTTACCAACAGGACTGAAACATAACAGATGAATGAACAGATAGCAA